GGCCACCCTGGCCAGCATCAGCAGCGCCTCCGGCCTCCTGGCCCTGTCCGGGGCCCTGTCCGCCCAGTCTCAGCTTGCCGCAAAGGAGGACAGGGGGGCCCCGGGTGCCGAGAACAACAGAGGTAAGGGACATGCCAGGGGGGGGAAGGGGCAGTTAGCCCTTGGAGGCCTGAAAGAGCGAGAGCTGCCCACGTGCTGGCACAGCATCCTGAGTGCCCGGGAGCTACCGACCAGCAGCCGGGCGCGGGAGAGCGCATGACCCAGCCCCTGCAAGGTGCTTCTCAGCTCGTATTCTGCTGACGCGGCTGCTGGCGTTGCTGTGGCTCAGGAAAGCTGCTTGGCTAAGGAGACCCCAGCCCCTTGTTGTGGGAGCAGAGCCAGGCTGCTTGGGGGCAGGACGGGAAGGGGAATGATCGGTCCTTAAGGCAGCGCCAGGACTGAGACTGATGCTGCTGTTTGGTACCACCCAGCAGCCTCCCACCCAGGGGCCTACAGCAAGGGCAGACGTTACCCTCTGCCCTTTCCCGGGATGCTCTGGCGTGCGGCTGCTGCCTCTCCGGTCAGAGACGCGCCGGACCCAGCGAGTGACCGAGAAAGCGAATTAAGTCTCTGGAAGCTCGCGAGGTTGATGCTGGTTCTGACGGAGGGAACAGCAGCATTGCAGTGTGCAAACTGGACACCTGCGCGTGTGCAGGCATGCCTGGTTGTGTCCATGCGCCCCGACACACGTCTTTCTGTGTGCCCATGAGTGTGCTTGTGCACGCACACGAGTGTACACACACAGAGGCGTGCGTGGTGGGCTCCGCCAGGCAATCAGCAGAAGGGCTGCTGTTTCTTTGATGCTGTGCCCTGCACATCTCCCCGGAGAGTGCGCTGTGGGTTGCCACCAGCGGCATTAGCTAGTAAAGCGCCTGTGAACCAAACTGCTCCTGACTCCCTCCCCAAATTACCAGGGGAATGCCAGCAGCCATGTGGGCCTGGGGGGGGCTAAAATCCAGCCCATTATCTCCTCCCACCAGCATGGCTGAGGGGCGGGAAAGCCAGCCTTCGCACCTCCCATGCTGTCCTCCCAGGGGGTGGCTGAGTCGCCCGGCACAGCCCCTCCTTGTGGAGAAGGGGGCAGGGTGTGAACCAGGCAGCGCTGGGACGGGGGCATGTAGCAAACAGGGCTGGGGCAGGGAGGATTCCACAGAAACAGCTTCCCGGCTGAGCGAGGTGGAAATCAGGAAGGAGGGTGGCCCGGCTGTGCTGTGCGTGACACCCCCCCTCCCCCGTCCTGGGGCAGCTCCCCTCTCCCTGCTGCAGCAGCCTCTGCCCCTCCTGTGCTGCGCCCTCCGTCTGTCTGTCCCTTGCTGTAGCTGCTTTCAGCCCCTTCCAGCCTCAGCCCAGCGTATTCTCTGTGTCCATTTGCCACTCGCTGGGCAGAAATTGCTTTGAAAGTGAACGAGAACCAGCCACCTCCTCCTGCCGTCCTCTCCCAGCCTCTCGCCTCTCTGGCTCTGGTCCTGTGTGTGCCTCCTCTCTCTGCCTACCCAGGCGCTCCGTGCCCACCCCCTGCCCGCTGCTGCCCGGTTGCCAGCTCACCCCAGGCTCTGGCCAGGCAGGTTGGCTC